AGTAAAAATTTTGCTGTGAAAGAAATGTCAAGACTCATTTGTCTTCCAAAGTGTCATCTGTGACAAATTCAAAATATAAATTATTTAACTGTGAAACAAACTGTCTTTAATACCTCTTCTAAGTTCACTTAGCTTTGAAGATGCTACAAATGCTACCTAATGCAAAATTGGTGCTTGAAGAATAAACCATTTATAGGTTTTTGTTTTTTTTTATTAAGCTTTAATTTGAAAATATTTTATTTAGACTAGGAAATTATATTATATTTTTTGTCTTCCTGCCTAGTGTAATATTCTATCTGTGTGTATATGCTATAACATATTGATATAAAATAGTTTATATGTACAGTAAAATAGTTTTATATATCAAATCACTTAGTTTAACAATGATCAAGTTAAAATATAGGAATTTAGTGTTAATGTGGTCTCCTATTAGAAATTATGACCACACAAAAGAGTTCTGGATTGTAGGAGGAGTGAACGCTTACCTTAGTTGTATAATTAACTTGACAATACAAATGGCTAACATCTTTCTAACATGACAGATCCATTGTATTTGTCATAGTATAATATATATACTAAATATGAATGATTTTTCTTCTATTTCTAATTCTATTGTTTTTGAAAGTGGACCAGTTGTTTTGTTCTATTCTGTCTTTGTTTTATTTTCTTTTTTTTGCTTTACTGAAGAAAAAATGTTAAGAGTGACTTTATAGTTGTACTGAGAAAAAAACTAGAAATGAAACTACAAGATATTCTAGACAAGGTTTGAACTTTTTATTAAGTACAGTATTACATACAAAATCAGTTGCAAAATCAAGTACTCAAAAGCTAGGACATGCTACAGGATTCCAATACAATCTTATTTGGCTAGCTTCTGTGTACACCTTGTTACAGAATCTTGCCCAAGAATCACCTACAGTGTCCATAGCAGACTCAGGAGTAAACCCCTCAAATCACTCAAATCAAATCACTCAAATCAAAAGAGACATGTTTACAAAATGAAGCATGATTCATGTAGAAAAAAAGTTTACACGAGAACAGAATTAAGTGCATCATAATGTGTATACACAAAGGGGCTGAATTGAAGTTGTATAATCAACTTTTTTTGTGACGTCCTAATTTTGGATGCAAATTTTTGCAACATATATACATCTTTTGCTTTGCAATTTCTAGATGTTTTAAAAATCTATACAACCATAATATATATAAAAAGCATATCATCCTCAGAAACTGTATTTGATCTACATAGCCACCAGCAGGGTTTGAATTTAACTTTTCCACATCAGACCTAAGAGAGCAATAGGTAGTTGTAGTAGGAGTTACCCACTGTTTAAAGAAACTACTAAGGGAAAAATGTAACACACATCTTTCCACCTGCTTACAATAGACACCAGTTTGCCAAATCTGGGGGAAGGGAGGGTTGACAGAGACAGTAAAAGATGCTTCTCTCCCTCTGTCAAATTTCAAGTTTCTGCTTCAGAGAAATAAAGCAGTGAGGACATTTTAGCATTAACCAAATGATCTACTTTTTCAAACCTATTCTGAGATACTGGTCAACAATTATGCTGAGAATATGTTTTGTAATTTCAGTTACTGTTCAGTAAATGAGCAGGTGTAGACATGCCCTCTGAGGCAAAACCTGCTTCTGATGAAATCAATAAACACGGGACTCTGGTAAATGTATGCTTTGAAAAAAAATGAGGATACTTGAGTTATCTCAACCATTTTATTTAAACAATTATTTGGAACCCCTAACCTGTTGTTATAATCTAATATACAGTAAGACTGTGGTACCTTAGCTGATGAACTAGATGTTTCCAGTGAATTAAAATCTACTGCACAAGAGGTAAAATGTTAAATTTTAATTTTAATTGTCATCTTTGAAATTTTAAAAGATCTTTCCTTGTTCATTGCAAGGCAAAGGCATTGAGGATAGATTTAAATATAGGTGCAGAGCTTCATGAGATATTTTTTTTCCCTTATTAGTGCTACTTAACTAAACAGAGCACAAGTCTAGATTCTTTTTTTAATCTATGGAAAATTCCTGTTCATAACACACAAACTACGTTTTAAACCTTATTTGTTGATTCATTTGCATTTCCATGATGCCTAAGGAGTCATATCCATTATCAAGGACTTCATTGTGCAAGGCACTGGACAAACACAGAACAAAGGCCGTGATGTTGAATCACAGCCATCTCTTGTACAGAAGAGAGCAAATCTGTTTTTATTCTCTGGCAGACCAAAAGGTTGTAGGATATTTTTCCTGCTTGAATAACTCTGATTAATATCAGAGCCGAAAAGTGCATTAAACAGTAACAGTTGGGGAAATCTTAGATTTTCATTCTGGAATCTGCTCTTGTCTGTGCATCTGTAGAAATGCTGTTTGAATGTGCAAAAGAAAATAACAGTCTTTCCATCCTGACAAGAAAGAGAGAAACTTCCTATGACTTTCTAAGATGGGAATGTCTTTTGGATATCCTCAAGCTGATTGTATTTGAATAGGAAATCATGACACTTTAATCTCTAGTGAACACCTGGGGAGAATTAAACTGTATATGCAATAAAATACCAGTTGTTTATCCTTGGTAGCTCTCTTTTGTTTTCTTAAATACATACAAGATGGAAACCCCCAGACTTTCTTTAACTTTTTGCTGTCGAAAAAAACTGCTAAACAAAAACTGACATTACAGTAAACCATTTGCATTCATTTTATTTAATCTAACACAGATCATATTTCCAGTAGACAATAAATGTAATGCAGTGTTGACAGATATGTGGAAGTGGATATACAATTAGATGATGAAATCTGGTCAAAACAGTTCAAATCTCATTTTATGCCTTTGCACTGCTTTGAATATTAATATAAAATTCTTACCTGCTGGTATATGACCTGCTCACTACATATGTAAGATTTCTACTGCTCATTAAGTCTAGTGTTTAGGGAGATCACCCTACCAAAAAAAACCAAACAAACCACTGGGCAGCTAGGTTTGATTCAAATAATCAGTGAGTCAACAGGATTTTCTCCACTGCTTTATAGTGACTTTGGATAAAGACTTTAATGTATTGTTCTAGTTGCAGTTGGAAAAGGAGAAATAAAGGGCTTTTATGTCTCACATAACCATGTGCCTTGGAGCAAATGGATCTTAATGGGAGATAAAACTAAAGAACACTAGAATGTTCCCCAAGTCATTTCTACACCTAGGAGTAAAAATGCAGCTCACCTTGGAAAAACAGGACAGATTCAGATAACAGGACAAAAAATGGTGAAAAATTATTTTGAGAAAAAGGAACTGAGGACAAAGATCAGATAATTCCAAAATAAAATTGTCAATGAATACATCAGGGCTAAAGACAAAAATATTATCACAATATTAACCTAGTAACTGGCACCTGCTCCTCCTGCACAAAATAAAAATTTAAACAGACACATTGGCACCTAATGGATCTCTGCCTGCTCTTCACCCCCACCTCTGGCCTTCTCTTTCTTCTGCTCTCCATTGGCCTTGATTGACTCCATGTGGTAAGCAATTTTCCTGTTGCAGATGACCTTGCTACGGCTTGGTTATAATAAAGATGTTGTGGTGGGGAAAATATAAATGTAATTAATCTTCAGATAAAGCAAGGAAAAAAGTAGTGCTTACTGCAGATTGGAATACAGTTAACCATCTAGCATGGGATTCCTTGGTACACCTTGAAACGTTTTGCCTGCTTTGTGAGTGTGAGGCAGATTGCCCCTAAGGGCTATCACTGATAAAAAGCCATTTTCATCCCTTCCATATGGCTTTGGTATTAAAATCCATGGTGGAGCCCTAAATTTGAAAGGAAAATCTAAATCCATAGCATGATGCCATACTTCGGAAGTCATAATTTTGTAAACTACCTGGGAAAAAAGGGGATAGAAACTAATGTAACAAAACACAAAAATAATTGAATGAACTAATCTCAGCACCTTTTCAGTTGTTATCATTTATTAGAGATGCATTTATGACTGGTGGGTAAAATACAGGCTGGGAAAAATTAGGGCTTTGCTTCTGACTTGTGAGGCAACAGGCTACATCTTTAGCTTCTCCATTTCTAAAAGGAGGGTGAGTATATTGTGAAACTTAAGAAATGTGCATTAATTGCTTTGTGTTATTTGCATTAAAGGCAGAGATTTTTTTTCAAATAATTAACATTGAATTATATATAACTTATTAGAATAAAAATGCTGCCAAAGACTTCAAAGAAATCCATAAGGGTCATTTATATACAAATTGATTTTAAAATGGACTTATACTATCAAATCTGTCT